GGTGCGCGACTGGGACCTGAGGGGACAGACACCAGGAGCCGGCGCTCTATGTTCCTGGACAGACGGAGGCTCAGCTTCTGATGTTTCAGCTCTTTATGAAGGGTTTTCTCGTTAATCAGATGCAGATGTTCACACACTCAGCAGCAGACGCGCCGTAACTCTATCCTGCTGATTTAAGTGCCGAGGCTGTTGGAGGCCTTCGTGAGCCGCTCGCTTTCTCTGGCTCTGAATCTGAAGCTCCAGCTCCTCAACCTCAGTCTGTGTTTCACTGTAGCTGCTCCATGTCTCTGTGGCCGTTTTGTGTTTTCAACTGAGCTGTATGACTTTTCAGTCACACAGAGCCTGGGGTCCAGGGGCCCTGGTGGGCCTGCGGCTCACTGGAGGTTGGCTGTTTGTTTCACTCTGACAAAAAATGAAGCTCCCCACGATGAACGTCTGTTTGGAAATTAGGGCCAAGTTAGCGTTAATCCCTCATGATTGACTGCAGGCTGGCAGGAAGTGTGTGTGTGTGTGTAAGAATGTAAAAATGGCCAACTGGTTTTAAAAGCAATTGGAGGAATCTGCTTATCAGAGATAATTAAAGCAAATTTAAGGTTGTTTTTCAATTCCTCTCTAATCTGCCAGTCTGTGTTTCCTTTCTGTTACATCACCGCTTCACTGAGTCCAAATCAAATGAAACAGAGATTAAAGATTAAAGATGTAAATCATGTAAATGCACCAAAACTGAGACACCATTAGAGTTATTATTATTATTATTAAGACTCTTTTATTACTGCTGTCTAGGCTGACTCAAGCATAAACAAAACATTTGTGTCGGGGAACTAAAAGTGTCTGCTTGTCTTCCAACAGCTGAATCGAGTTATTCTTGTTATTTTGATTCTGGCTGCTGCAGGATGCGACCAGTGACAGCGAGGAGTTTATCATCTTTATTATTCTTGCTCTAAAGTCCTTTATATTTATTTCCAGTGAAGCATCTCGTCACTTTTACCTCTTACCATGTTGTTTTGTCTTTATTTTCATGCCGTTCTTGTGGTTTTTAAATGGAGGTGAACGTGACCCCCTGCTGACCAGTAGACCTACTGGGCACAGGGTTCCACCAGACTGGGTCAAATTTGACCCAGTATGTTTTTGTGTGTGTGTCTATGTTCATAAGTTAATACCTCACTGCTTTGGAGGCTGTTTCCTTTGTTGCTGCATCTGTGTTTAAATAAAGAATCAGGGAATAAATGAAGTGTGAGCTCAGACACCTGAATCTAAATCAACACCCTTCAGCTGCCAAACATTTTCATGCAGCTCTTTATCTTTGCTCCTGTGAGTTTTCTCTGTTTTCATTCTACTTTAATCCAGTTCTACCACATTATGCATTTAAATAAATATTGAAACACCACTAAAATGGTCTTTGCTCACATGTGAACAGGCACAAACATGGTCGTTGTACTTTAGTTTGCTTTTATTTCTGACTCTGATCAACTGCACAAATTAAAAATCTTCTTTCTCCAGAGAAAATCCTGATCGGATTGGCGGGAAATTGGTGGCAATTAATCCCCTG